GAGAGAGAGAGAGAGAGAGAGAGAGAGAGAGAGAGAGAGAGAGAATGTATGGCCGACTCTGAGACTGTTTGTTGATGGGGAAGCATACCAGCAGCAAGTGGAAAATAAAGGTCAGGTTATTTTGGAGCCATGTTTTACAAACCACATCACGAAGAAGATGATGAAGACGACATTGACATCTGTACCTGTCCGGTGAAGCCCTCCTTATTTTACTCTTTCTCTGGATTTGAAGAGGGCTCCGATTTATGACAGGATAATGACACTCATTGATTTGAAGAGGGTTTGGAGAAGTCTGGACTTATCACAGTGTAATGTTTCTTGGGGCAGGTGGTAGACATATATCAGGGTGTCAAAGCGAATGTGCGACAATTCATTTAAATTTTAAACCAGCGGTATGGCAGACCCTGAATCGCCAAACCTAATGTTTTGGGGCCCAAACAGATTGAACCGGTCCTCACCAGCGCAGCAGGCCTAGTACATTAAGAGAATGCCACCTCTGTGCCCACCAGCAAAATTTTTGCTCGTGCGCTCTCAAGTACACTATTAGTTTGAAGTTTGTGAACTTCGAACTGTTTTTTTTTTTCTTTTTTCTGAAAGATTCCCTGAAATTCATAATGGCCATTGATTGGGATGGTAATGCATCGTCCTTCGGGACATCCGTTTCTCAGCACGTGATGTGATGCTCCCCAGGAATAGATTGGAGCATGGCCCCTGCGCAAGGATGACAAGGACAAGTGGGCAAATGGACCGAAGTCTAAAAATAAACCAGAAAAAGAAAAAGTATCGAGTTCTGTATGTGGGAAAACAACCAGACTTCTTATAAAGATTTACGAACCGCCATGGTTCCTAATTCACAGGCCCCAATATCATCCTCCGCTACCCTCTTCCCCCGAACGCACCCTCATAACCAATGTATACAAGCTATCTTTCCGGTCAGGTGCAGCCAAAATGAGGGTGCATTGTGTTCGGGGGAAGTTGGCTGTGTGTCATGGAGGTACATGGAGGGGACAAGGGGCAGTGCCAAGTTAGGTACTTCATTCTTGACTGGGAACTTAGGAGGCTCCACATCGAAAAAAAAAGAAAAAAAGGAGGCTGCATTGTATAGACTGTCTGCAAGATTCTGGGTAGAAAGTTGTAGCTCAGTTGACTTCAAGTCTTCAAGTGTTCAATCCACCCATCCAGAAATCTGCACAAGTCAAAAAACGTAAAATGAGATTCAACTTCATCCAAGGACTCATCTTTTCCGAGCAGTCCCAGCGTAGTAGTCGCAGCGTAGTCGCAGTGGAGTTTAAAACACCAGTACACCACATATCTGCCCGCGGGTGTCAGCATGAAACCTGCACCGCTTCGAAGGCCGCCAATTTTTTTTTTCAACGACGGGCCTGGCCACGCGGCGCCTCCGAGTTTTGCTTGTGGCGACAAAAAAATTCTGCAAGGCTGGGGCCGTGTACTAGCGGTTTAAGCCACCAATATCCCCCTGATCGGTTATTGATGTGGAGCCTAAATTCGCCCTGGACACCAAAAAAAACATGAACGGGCGCGGGCCTGCTTTTTGGCTGGCGCGGCCAGTCATTTTGGTCTGGTACCGGAATCCCCCGAAAGAATGCGGCTGCAAATGAGCCGCATATTTGTTTTTCGAGCGTGGAAAGGTACTGGTGGGTTAAATGGAGAGCCTGAGTCTGGGCCTGCTTCTCAGAACTGTATTCAGTGCATTGTGGAGGTCGGTAGGACTCAAAGGGGATGCAAAAAAATGTTATACACCGGATACGCTTCTTGGCCTTTTGGCTTTGGGCTTTGGGAGGAGGTGTGCTAGTTCTTAGTCAGCAAAAAACACTATGAAATGGAAATGGCGTTCTAGAAGCGGAATGCATTCTCCAGGTGCAGTTTCACCTTCTAGAAGCAGAAATGGCCTTCAGACTTTCGAAATCAGTTTGATAATTTTCCACTTCCACAACCAACATCGTTCCCTTCATGCCTCTCTGGGCCTCGCCGCACGGCACACGAAACGAAAACGAAACGAGTGCATCTGCCCACCAAAGGTGGCAAAATACCGTCGTTACTATTTATAGCAAACCGATGAACCTGGCCATTTTCCGGGGGAAGATACATTCGTTTCGTTTTTCGTTTCGTGTGCCGTGTGGCGACGCCCTCTGTCAGGCACCTTTACAAACATTATTGTCCATTGAACGGACGCAGCAGCGGACGGATGCCGAACACCGTTTGAATGAATTCTCCAGGTGCAGCTTCACCTTCTGCCGGGAAATGGCTTCAGACTTTCCAAACCGGTTTGATAAATTCCACCAGCAACACGGTTCCCTTCATGCCTCTCTGTCAGCTGCCTTTACGAACGTTATTGTGGGTCGTTGTCGATCGGTCAGACCCGGCCGAAGGTTGACAAACACCATTCCATCCCCCCATCTTTGCACCGATCTTGCGGTATTATTATGCTAGATAAAAACTGATCGCCAAGACGAAGTTGGACTGAGTGTAGCGACAAGCCATATGACTTCATGGAAGGGTGCTTCAAGGAATGACGACTGCATATTGACAGTCGAGACGGAAGAGGATGAGTGGTTCTCTCTCGGAGAACTTGCAGATAGGATGTAGCCGTGGCCTGTGTTTTCCATATTGGAGATATAAATAGGTACTGAATGTGAACCCCTTCTACATGCATGCTGTGCATGATCCGGAGGAGGTTGGTACTACGAAGAATAGGTATGTGACGGAAGTTAGTGAACCACTACTTGGTACCTTTGCACAAACGAGTTTCTCAAAAGGTGGGCCTCCTCTGTCTCACTCATGCTTCCTTGTCGTTGACAGTGAAGGCGAACTGAAAACACAGAGGTGGAAATTGGGCCAATGAGGTGGAAATTGTCTATCCTAAGGGTCAAATTCCGTCAGAGCCTCACACACAAAATTGTGGTGGAGGGTTATCAAATTCATGACGCGCAAGAATTGCATAAACGCCGAATTCAGCCATAACCGCCATGCAGTGTTTCACATCGTCTTTCGTCCTTGAGGAACCTGGAGGATGGGAAAAACTACCGTACAAAGTGTCGAGCTTCCCATCTGATGAAGGAGGTTTTCTCCTCACATTGGCAATTGTCAACGGGACTAGTGTGAATGTGGAGGCCTCTTCGAGCTGCCGACAAAAAAAAAATAAAAAAAAAAAAAAAAAAAAAAAAAAAAAAAAAATTGTGGACGCCTTTGCAGTGAGCAATGTGACGACTCGTACGTTGTGCCCTAGAACGCATACCTCTTGCTACAAGTCGAGAGACGCATACATGTGTTGGGAGCGCACGCCTTTGCAAATGTGCCCTTCAGGCTTCCGTATAATATCTTTACGCGGGGGGTTGAAGGATGTGATTTTGCAGCAGTGGGTGAACGCATCGAGTAGTGCGACGGGGTCGAAGTCGCCAGACAAAAGGATGTACTATGTAGTGGTGATCGTTTGCATTCGACCTGAAACAGAACTGCGCTGCAGAGTACTCCATGTCAGCAGCTCTTTGGGCACCTGAAAACCATCGGATGATTGGTTTCGTTGTTAAACGAGTACCGTCTTCACCGGAATAGAACGCCCGGTCGATATAGCTGCATCTGGTCTGACAGTTGCCCCGAATACGCCTATAATGACCGTGAGAAAAGATTACAAATAATGGAAAATTAGTACGAAGAAGACAACACGAGCTTTAATATCATGGCGCCGTCATCTCCTTCACCGCCATCCTCGGCAACACACTAGCTGAGATAACTCAACCCTTCCACTGTAATGACCGGGCGTTCTATTGGGGTGAAGACGGCAGTACTTCCGGAAGCCCCGGCGTGCATGCAGCCAGCCATTGCTACAGCGGTGCAACGTTTCCATTTTAATGAATCTATTCCAGCGCCCCAGGCCTGGTCATCCCAGCAGGGCGTGGCGCGCATGCGGCCGGGACTATCAGAAGTGCTGGTAGTTGAATGTCCCATAATTAGTGGCTGGAAAATGTTGGCTACCATCCATACAAAATAAGAACACCCAGGTGTGTTGTTCAAATGTAAAGCCACCAGCAGGAGCTGAATAAAAAGCCCAAGCATTACACCCTGAATGGGTGATCTATTTGAATAAAACCCATGAGCTCTGCATGTGAATGGGTTGAATGTAAGGCCCACTTCGTTTGGATGTGTAAACAGTATGCACGGCGCCGTTCTCAAGGTGAAGAGGTCCCTCCCTTGCCCCGAAATGCCTGCTCAGTCAATCCCCTGTATCCCAGGGCAATCAATGCTGG